CCGGATAACACTGTACAGGGTGTCCAAAACTCGATAGTATGGGTCTACTGTGAGAGTACAAAAAATTTAAATAAAAAAAAATTTCCTGTTAAAAGCTCTCTTTTTTCTAACAAACTTTTATTAGAGAAATTTTTCTGTAAGTATCACTTCCCGTTTAAACGTTATAAGCAATATCGTCCCAAAGAGTCTCAAAAGAAATACCAGCTAAAAATCGCATTAGCGGTGGAACGATCAAGTAGTCGTTGGAAAATACTTGAATGTTCGTTGTTTAAAGTGCATAAATGTCACAGAATAGTTGTCATTACTCTATACGAACGATAAGCGTATAACTTTTTTGCTTACAAAACGTTTTCTCATTCAGAAAAAGTTGATATGTTGCTAATTTACGGCGAGTCACAAAAAAATCAAGAAGAGCTGTAGAGTTATATCGAGAAAAGTATCCAGAGCGTTTCATTCCTGATCATAGAACCTTTACAAGATTGGAGGCGACCTTGCGACGAAATGAAGATGCATTTTCTGTTCGGAAAAATCAAATAATTGACCGAAGGGTAAGAAACAATGTTAATACAGCTAGACTGTTACAGTATTTCGGACAAAATCCAGGAAATTCTATACGGCAGGCTAGCCGGGAATTGAATTTGGATAAATCAGCCGTTCAACGAATTTTAAAGACCAATGACTACAACATTCACAATTTGGAGTGTTTGCCGGAGCGTCACATTGAACGAGACTTAATTTTATAGCTCAAATTGTAGTAAATGTAGAACCTGTTGATCAGAACCTTTTTCCGCACGTTCTTTGGACGGACTAAAGTCGGTTTGTCAGTAATGGTTAGCCAAACAGGCGCAACGAACACTAATGGTGCATTGAAAATCCCCACATTGTAAATCCAATCTAAAACCAAGACCATTTTGGAGTAAATGTATGGTGCGGCTTCAACTGTAGGCATTTAATCGAGCCTTATTTTTATGAACATACATATTGAATAGCGTGAGTTCCCTAAATTTCCTACAAGAAGAACTTCTTGCACTTCTGGAGAATGTACCTTTATAGTGGAAAAACCTATATTTTCAGAACGACGAGGCTCCACCCCACAAGGCCAGGATTGTGCAGCAATATTTAGATAACATTTTCCCAGAAAATGGATTGGGCTTAATGGATCTATCCAGTGGCCCGAAAAGTTACCAGATCTAACACCTCTCGTTTTTTTATGGGGGATTTGAAAAAATACGGTTTACAAAACACCTTCGGGAGATATAAATCATTTGAAAGAAAAAATCACAAACGTTTGTAATGATTAAAACGGCGAAATGTTAATAAACGCAGCCTATAACGAAGACAGGCGAAGATTGGATATGCCTCTTCAAATTAGAGGAGTCATATAGAGAATAGATTGTAATATGTATGTAGTATGAAAGCGTTTGCTTAATTTTTTAAGTTTAGTTATCGTTATCATCACCTTTTGATTTAACCGTATTAAAGAATTATCGAGTTTAATCCTTTTATTTATTCTTAATGACATTTAGGCACTTTAAACAACGAACAATCAATTCCTTTCCAACGACTACTTGATCCTTCCACCGCTAATGTGATTTTTAGGTGTTATTTCTTTTGAGACTCTTTAGGGAGATATTGCTTATAACTTTTAAACGGGAAGTAATACTAAAATGTTACTGTTAAATCATTAATAACTATACACATAGAAATGGGCCTGAGAAGTGATCCTTGAGGTAGTTCAGCATACAACGTTCACTGAATTCAAAGTTTGTACAGAGAACTAGAACAAGGAATGTGACGAGAAATTTAAATGAAAGAAACATAGTTTTTTAATGCTTTGTGAACAGGAATTTCGTTTTTCACACGTCAAAATCGACAGACGAACCAATTTTTCAACTCTGACCTGGTGCGTGGCGGTAGAAGGGTGTCAGGTTGGTCGGGTTCAGCTACACTTCAGAAAGAGCGAAAAACCCAATTCCAGGAGACCCTCCCGCGTCCCTCCGAACAAACAAGAAAACAAAAGAGCGATACCCCGTTTTACATATTTTATAGGGCATAAAATCAGCCTTAACAACGCCGTAATTCCTCCCAGGCCCGAATACAACAATTAAATTACCAAAGCGAAACGAGATTAGTCCTTCGCGTACCCCCCCGGCCCGTCGCAGCGGCGGAGGGTCGTCAATGTCACGGCCGCCTTTGTTTCGGCACGTCTCGAGTGGCGCGCACTTATTACGGCCTCTTCCGTTTCCTCCCCCGCCGGCCGAGGCGTCGCGGGGGACGTGCGTGTGACACACGACGCCGCCGCCGGCTCGAGAGGTTGCCGTACGTCGATAGATAACAGAGTAACAGGATACTGGGCTGAGATTGAATTTTTTTTTTGTACATGATGTTAATTAAGTACTTTTTTTTCTCTATTGTAAAGGTATTAATGTAATTCAAACAAATTCAAACATTTTTTTCTAAAAAATTAAGTCGAATAATAAGAATCTCGGCCTGCAACTTCGAGGACAATTTAAAAATTGACCCAAATGCGCCTTTCTTTGTTTACGTGGGAGGTGTTTACGAAAAAAAAATTTCCCTCGCGCGCACCGGCTTAATAACTCGCTAATCCCCATTATTTACAGTGAGCGCCCATGAATATTCAATTCCAGTCGGTTTAATTTAAAAATAATACCCCCCGTCCCCCGTCCCGCGCCCCCTAAATTAACCGACTCCCGAATCGCGCTTAAAAATGAGCGAATGATTATTTCATGTAAATTGCATGCAATTAATCTACCCCGAAGAATTTTCAGGAGTTTTTAATCTTCCGGTGATAAGACGGAATAATGTCCTGGGGCGGGGGGGGGGGGGGAGAACTACCCCAGGAACGGGAGCGAAGGGGCGAAAGGGGCATTTACATATTTTATTACATTGTAGTTGTGTGTGGGGGCATTCCTCTGCGCCTTGCGGCAACTTATTTATGCTGGAAACGTTCCCGATGACGTCGCTCTTTATTTACAGTACTATGCAAAAAGGACCAGGAACGGATTCAACCGTTTTCCATACCGAAAATTGAGGGGAATTTGGTTCTGTATTGTTTATAATCATTTCGCGGCATTACAAGGCCTCCAAGCTTCACGCGTGACGTCACTAGGTTAGTATCACACGTATTTGTCGGTAAATCTTTAACGATACGAATTTAGGTAGCAAAAATTCAATGAAGGTAAGTAAACAAATAAAAAATGCGTATACTTCCATAAAGAACATCGCTTTGTAACCGGATCTTAAATTGGCAAAATATTTCTCCGACCCTTCGAACGCCCGGAAATACGCGGAGATAAGTCCGAGTTTATTATGAGCGGAAACTTCCCTCTCCGAGCCCGCCTCGCGACAAAGGAACTCATTAAAAACACCACCGTCGGCTTGGGAAAACAAAAAATCGCCACCAACTAGCGTTAATCTTGGAGGCAATCTTCCTATTCCGGGATTTTCATTTAACATCGGCACACGAAATGTCAAACTAATTAAAAACTTTAAAATCGCAGCTGGGGTCCCTGTTTAAGCCCTTCTAATCGAGGAGGCGGGCTGGGGGCGGCCGGGGTTCCGAGGACAATGAGTCATTTTTATCCTTTGAGTCCTTTGCGGGATAAAGACGCTCCGCGTTGTCAAACGCGCACACTTTTCCTCTACAGCTGGTCGACAAAGTTTAGAAAAAAAAAGAATCTTGGTTCAATGGAAGATATGGAAGAAAAGTTGCGAGTCTCCCAACGATAGCACAGGTTCACTTTCGTCATTGGCGGCGTGATATATCTATATACTCAAGCAATTAGAAATTCGGGTTTTTTCATCTGGCAACACTTCCGGCGTCCGTACCGCATATAGAACCCATCCATGCGACCAACTGAATTAACTAAGAGAAAATTTGCATCTCACTCATTACAAAGTTTAAGACGACAACCGCGACAACTGGAAACTCGCGAGCGCGACTATTCCTCGTCTGTTTAGCAAAAATACCCCTTTAATTTGAATATACTTAGTTAGGGATGCAATTTTCAGCGTGTGGCGGCGAAAGGAGTACGTTTCAACTCCGATTCGACGAATCCGCCGCTTTTGCCTCGACTTTGAAAACGTATTCGCTTTGAAAATGTGATTTGCAAGTTTCGCGAGGAAGCGAAATGGACTGTCAACGTGACGCGACTTAAATATGACGCTCTTAAAGCCGTACAACTTCCTTAATGCATGCATTAAAGGCGCGTTGTTTAATATTTACGTAGAAATTAGATCGTTCACTTTCAGGATACAGTTGCACAAACAGCGGCTGGTTCAGTTTTTAAGAAGCAAGTTTAAAATGTGGTGGGGGTGATAAGAACACAAAGGAAGATTAATGTTTGAATATTTACATTCTCGTAAGTATTGTTTTCTCAAAGGAAATAAAATTTGAATTCTCAGCAAATTATCCTAGATATTTCCCGACACGGATGTCTTTGCAAGACATAAAAATATAACTTTATCGGAACGAAAATTTGTATTAGAATAAAAGTTGTAAAAGTTCTAATACCACATGTAAAAATATTTCACACGTTTATTGATCGCAGCTCGGTGTGCACGTTGCTTTAATTTCTAATAGTTTCTTTACACCCCATCCCGTCCCAGAATTAAATTCGGCGATTCTTCCCGAAAATCCAACGCCGACGCTCCGTAGAAGGGCCAACTTCTCACTTTCTCCCGCGCGTTCCTCACCATTTACCATGCAGGAAGACTCGCCACCTAAACCCCCCCATTACTTAGTCTGGAAAGTTGGGAAATAAACGGTAATGTAGTGCAATTTCCTATCTCCCTGCTCCCGGGTGTGCTTCGCTTAAACGGCGCTAATAAACCCACCCCCACTGACCTGGTGGAACCCCACAAGGTTTGTGAAGATAACAATTATTGCGGGATTCGGGAACTGAAAGCCGTCATTGTGGCCGTTTCCGATCAGAAAACCTATTAATTAATTAAAAACGACTGTGAGCCCTCGGACTTACCCTTTGCGGTACGCCCCTGGCGGCGGCCCTCCCGTGCCTCGGTGAGCTGGTCCCGTGCTTCTCTTTCCTGTGGGATGTCTTAAGGCCGCGCAAGAATCTCGAGAACGTCGTCCGCTTCTTGGTGTTGCAGTAGTTTTGTTCTGAGAAAGACAAAAATTATATCGTTAGCTTTGTAGTGCTATGTGTCTCTTAAAAAGGCATGAAACTACTTCAAATTGTTAAAATGCCATCAACATATGAAGTTATGCATTCTTTGTTATATTTAATTCATCATCTAAACTTTTAGAAAATGTAGCTGTTAAAATTGACACCAGAAAGGTAAATTTTGATTCCTTTTCGACCATTTTTTAAAAATATCTTAACCTGGTGTACAGAATTTGTTCAAAATTGTTAAAAATGTCACCAGAAAGACCATTAATTGTTAAAATGATCCACCCGATAGATGATATAGTTTTTGGGGAACGTTTCGAAACGACAAAAACGCGTTTAAATTTTATAATTAACGGTTCTTTGTTGTAAATAAAATAAAGCCATATCGAAGGCCAGCTTTACTGACAATGACAAGAGACTCATTGTCACTAAAACGTAATTATTGCACCGGCCAAATTAATTAAATTAGCGCGAAGCCCGGCGTGTAATAACTGAAATATTCGAATTTTATTATATATTTTATTAACGGAGGACTTTTTTTAAATATTAACTCCAATGAATGTCACCATGAATATGCATTTCCGCACACAGAGCGAATATAATGCATTCTGTTTGGTCGGTTGTGCCGGGCAGCTGGTGCGATTCCCAGCGGCCGAATCGACTGGATTAACAGATGCAGCGAATCGTCCTGTTTGTAAAAACCTTCTACACGTATGAACGTATTTTGTAACATGGCAATATTTCGTAATTTTTTGTCGCGTCAGAAAATAAGATTTAATGAAAAGTTCACACAATAATTACAATTTTTCCGGCAATTTCCCTGTCCATTTAAAAAAAAAAGAAAATCTAAACTGGGGTTTACAATGACTTAATTTGGATGGCGCTGCGACGCCGTCCAAATGTTATTAAAAAACTTCTTACGTAGACTTCGGTTATTAGCACAAATAAGTTTTAATTACGAATTTCAGAAGGATTTTTCATTCGGGATTATTGCTATTAAAAGTTCCCGCGGCGAAAGTTTTCCGACTTTTATCTTAATTATATACCGGCCATATTGGGCATTTCCTCGGCGATTCCTTTGATTGCAGATAATTGATTTTTTTTAACGTTTAAAAACACTTTCACCCCCTCCGAATATTTTTTGCCACGAACACATTCGGAATTAGCCGTACGGCTTGAATCTAAATTAATAACAGACAGTCTACACAATCATATCATTTTATATCTTTCGAACGGGAAGAGATACCGACAACCCGTTTTGATAAAACCTGTCGAGAAAGACGATAACTTCCGTAAAACTTGTGTGAAATTATATCTTTAACGCGAAATCTGGACCTATGTGGTAAAATTAACCGTTGCCCCGATACCCAGCTTGCCAGGCCGGTATGTTAGGCAGCTTCACCGTCGCAGTTAACATTTTAATACCGGCGCTTCCGCCAAAATAATGAGTCGGATGAGCCCGGGGGGTGGGGGGGCTTAAGCCGTAGGCGATGCTCGTTTGTTATGCGCCCGGCGTAAGCCGAGCTCTAGATTTATAAGGTGTATTTTTGGCGTGCACGGTTGCATCGGCCTTGCCGAGAGTTATGGAGAAGATTTGCCCAGATCTGTAGGTCGCGGTTGTTGTGGAAAATAGTGAAAAATGAAAATGCGAGGGTATTGTGCTAGAACAGAAAACGTCTGATACACGACTTTTTTTTGGATTCAAATAAAGTCCAAATGAAAATCCTCACATTTTTAACCTATTTTCATATTGCGACGTGGTTAAAAACATCCCACTTTATGTAAAATTGAACACGTTAAAATCTTATCAAAGTTTTCCGTAAAGTTCAACAATCTTAATGCATTTCAATTCCGCTTTTACTTTAAGCCTATCTGAAAATATTCCGAACCTTCTTTAGGTTGGTAGGAGTGTATTTACTTTAATTCTTCCTGATTATCACAGCCGATTAACCAACTTCGTGAAGTTCACGCTTTCCTATAGTCGCTCAAAAAAAAAAACTCGTGTTAATTTTGATTGTTAAGTATCTCATAGGTTTACGCAACTTTTTGTAGAATTATCATTTGTTTTGAAGGTATTACTTGAAAAGTAAAAGAGTTATTTATTGTTACTGTGTTGAGAAGCAGAAAACAATAAACTTTTTGTGAAAACTAGTTACCAGACGAAAAACTTCGTCAAATGGCAATATTTAATGTAAATAAATGCTGATATAAATCGTTGAGAGATTAATATCGAGAAAGAAATATGCTTATCTTGAAATTTGCAATTTTTCGTATCTTAAAAACGAAAAATTAAAAATATCTCCAACAAAAAAAATATGACAGCAAAGAAAAGGACAGTTTAAGCGTGCTTAGCTACGTTTCAGGTAGTGAAAACAACCTCATACTCATATTTGGCTATCTAAAAGCTCCCCGTGTTAAATTTAATTGAAATATATTTATAAGCGACAAAGTTATCTTTAAAAAAAATGAAATTTTTTGAAGATGGATGAACTTCTAAGGAAACAAATCAAAAACTAAACATTTTTTGCTGAATTTACTACTATTTCAAAAGTTACCCTCCATTAAATCCAAAAGGTAAGGTAGGGCAAATATCCGAGCTCGACATTTTACGGGGGACAATTTCATAACGACCACCGTAGCCAGTTTTGGGTGTTGGGAGATGGCCAAAGTACAGGTTGCGGTCTGCACTAGATTAGACGCATACGCCGTGAGAGTGGCTACAAAGTACTCCACTGCATATGGTCAGAATTATTTGCGAGCTTTCTGCTTAAAACCTGGATTAAGCGCGGATGAAACGTGCTATAGGTGATAATAAAAGAACGGCGGAAAGTGGCCAGTTCCGCAAATTACCCAACAATTTAGTCGAAAATAGGAAAAAAGCTGTTATACGCTGGACCGGGTCCAGGGTTAGATATTTCGTTGAATTATGTATAAAAAAAATATACAAACTTTGTCAATTTTTCAGAAAATCGAGATTCGCTTTGTAGTTTGAAAACGGTAAAAGTTCTGTACCCCAGAATCATAAATCAACTCTCAAAATCGCCGAAAACACTACAGCCACATCTTTATTGTAGGTCCAACCTATTCAAGGACTCCAAAATTTGTCCGATCGGACCACGCCAACCTCTATGTACCAATATACCATCTAGTGATTACGCCAAAAATTAGATTTGAATGAAATCAGCAATCTTAATTTTATCCATTGTGGAGAGTCAATAATTAAGTATAAAAAAAGGGAAACTGGATCTCACTGACCTTCATCTACTGTCTCTAAATGAAGAGCCTAGGCACTGTCCACGTGGTATTGTTACCGCAATAATTCAGCACCCAAAGAGGGAAAACCCCGGACGGTCAACTTTTTCCGTAAATATTAATACTTGCCGGCCCGCCATCTGGAACATTTGCACATCGCCGAGCGGAGTGAGATTGATTTAAAGCACCACCGAGCTTAATTAATGTTAAATAAAGCGTGTACAGACCGGGGGAATCGGGCAAAGTTTTCCGATGCCGACGCCTGTGGTCCGCCGCACGCCAAAAAGTTTCCTTCGCAGTTGAGCTGTGGGGCCTCTGACGGCGGCTTCCGAGATTTGATTACGACTTGGCGCGAATCCGGGGAGGACATAGCGATGTACAACATTACACACTTGTAACGTTACGAGTAATCAAGCTGTAGAAAAATAGTGACAAAATATAGTTACTTGTAATTACAGCGTTTAGCCTGGGCGTTTTTACATACCCCGAGGACGATACACTCGTATTGACTTGGGTGGTGGTATTATTTTGGAACGTTTTATTATTACCATCGTCATGAGTATCGCACGTCACGTCACACGCCATATCGCACGCCACACCTCGCGTCCTACATCGCACGTCACACATCGCATATCACACTTCACAGCCAGTCACACACCACACCGGACCATTGCGGTTTTGATTATTATTATTTTAAATATAATAAAATTCCAACAAGTCCTGTATAGTAAACGGTTTCGAAAAATATTTTTTTCATAAAACTGAAATTTATCATGTGCGGTGAAATTTTATCGACGTCAACCGCAACATCGACCTTGTTTACTTGAACAAATTTACAAAATTAAGTTTCCATTCACAAGATATCGCCCAAGATACGGAATAACAGTTCATTATTCAGTTCGTTAAATGTCGTTTTTATGTGACTACTTTCCGCCCACCAAACGACGCCGTAAATTGTATCGCTAAACGGTACCGGTTGATAAAATATTATACAAGTTTACCGTCATTTCCCTTACAGCGATTTTTTAAGACAAGAAATCAAAGAGTGGGGTGTCTAGCGTATAATATTGTATCTATTTTAAATAAATAAAGTGGTACAGGCAGATTCCTGCATATATCAGTACAATTCATCTACACAGAACTAGTTCTAGTAACGTATAGATGTCGCTAGTGCTGCGCATATATCTACTAGGACTCAAATAACAGAAATTACTATTAAAGTTCATTGCTTACACAGAACATGACGCGAAAATTCATGAAACATTTTCTATGCTATTTTGTACGTTCCAATATTTCTAATCTTAAAGCTTTCTGTAACATGAATGTTAAACTCCAGATATTCAATTGTGTAAACGTGGTATGAATGACGTCACTTGAGAGAAAGACAGATGAATTCAGGGCTCGCAAATGCAATTTTCTTTCAGAGCTGTAGTGGTAAATAACTTCACTTCATTGATTTTATTATGCAAAATAGGTATATGAAACTTAAAATTTGACAAAAATTTTTAGATTCACATTTACAGTCTACACATATAAACTGACTTTTTAAACAGGGTTTATGTCATATGTACTGTAGACATTACACGTTTTATGTGTTACGTATTACAAATAAGTTAAATCATCTGTTTATATTATTATATAGCTACAGCTATTTGTGTCAAAATGAAAGTTTAAAGTTCTTTGCTGACGTCACGCGCAGGCACGACAAAATTCTCGAATACTTCCTCTCTTTTTAGGCGAGTAGGTACAGATGTAAAACGTCGTCATATTCATCTCAGACGGCGCGTCTTGATGGCTGACGGGCCAACGCTAAAACTGAAATCACTTATTTCCCACGTGTCAACTGTCAGCTGGTAAATATGTGGGTTTTCGGAGCTGTTTTCCGTCTAAAACGAATCTTCTGAATATATTTGAATAGCGCGACTCGAGCACGGAGCATTATGTAAATTCGCCTCCCTCCTGTTTGGGGGGAGGGGGGCTAAAATAATTCAGCGTCTCACCTTGAGGTAACTGAACAAATATTTGGCCTTTCTCAATCTTCCCTAAATCGAGATCAGGGGAACTGTCAATAAAAACATTAATAACAAACCGGTGTTCCAATAAATGTATATCTACCACAGAATAACATTCCGCCAGTTTTAATATTGTAGGTACTTGACGCGAGTTTCGCTAAAAAAGTTACCATCGTCAGGAAACTGTCGATACGCGCGAATGTGTAGGAAATTTGGTGCCAATATATGTACACACAGTCGACATTTTTGAACGCGATAAGGTCGCCCACGTTGCATTAAGGCCCTTTGGAGGAAATTTTAAGTGCCTCTCTCGGGCGCTTTGCCGTCCATAAATATTTCAGAAGTTCGGGTCGTAAATTGCGGATAGCCCGTTTCGTTATGAGTGTTTCGGCGGGCATATGCCAGCTAACTTTCCACTTGCAGGGCCGTAAAAAGGGCGTAAAGTGAAGTTTCGCCCGCGTCCGACAATGGGATGTCTTACTCTTTTAAAAATACCAGATCGGAGGTGAACTAATATAGTTTTGTCGCTTCTGGAATAAGAAATATGTTGGGACGGCATGCTTCCAAAGAAAGTAAAGACTCCTGACAGAACTGGGAGTGAAACGAAGAAAAAAGTTGATAACTGAATAAAAAAGTATTCGCGCTTGGTGCGTGAGTGAACCGTACATGATGTAAAGGCCAGGGCCGTATTCAAGATATCGAGAATTTGAAATAATTCATTAAAACTTTCACTAAAAATAAATGTGTTGCTTTTTATGTGGTAATATTGTTAGAGCTAAGTTACAATTAAAATTAATGACGACAAATACAGTTTAATTATTCAGCAGAAAGTTTAAGGCCTGCTTTTGATTTAAATGATGTTCCCGTATTCTTAAAAAACGATACGTTCTCGCAGACATTACTTGAATGAACCGTTAGCAACGAAATAATAAAAAAAATTGAAATTAAAGTGCCCGAAAGCAATATAGTTGTGCCGCCGATTCAATAGACATTTCTTCGTTGCCTGCGTAATTCTTTTTTGCTCGTTAGTCTCGCCGCCGCCGCAGCAACCTGCGTACGCTTCGCCCATGTATAATTCATGCCTTAATACCGCCGCCGCTAGCGCGACGCCTATATCATTTCGGCGAGGCCGCCGAAATTTGCTGAATCTATTAGGCGGTACCGCGGAGCGCCGGGGGCGAACCTTGGGGGCCGGGATCGAAAGTGAGACGCGGCTTTTTGCGTCGGTTGAAGTTCATGAATCAAGAGGTTTAACTAACAGAAGCAAAGTGAATATTGCGTACGTTTACAATTTTACTGTGTCTGCGTATTATACTTCTTTTCATTTTTTCCAGAGTTTTAAAGAACTAAGGAAACATATATCAATCTGCCAATTTTTTACCTCTAGAAAAGTGACAGCAACTTACAGTACCAAAGGTGGAGGATTAATTCGAATAATGGAAGTTAGCTCATGTCAAGGTTATTTTAAGGTTAACTCGTTTTTTTTAATGGTAATTACAATTTCTGACCTTTGATTCTGAAAGAACGAACATTTTACGTTGGGAGAAGTGGATCAGTTTTTTTTAAGGTCATCTTCAAGGTTATTTGAAGGTCAATGCAAGTGCACGTAATTTTTGATTAGTTTAAAGCTTCTGTGTTTATGTTTTAATTTGTTCTGTTAATTTAAAATTTCTTAGTTTATCTTTCCTCCTACATCGTTTTGTTTTCTTTTATCAATTCTCGTATCGCAGCAGGTAATTACCAACGCGCTTTTTATTTACGGGTAGTTCCATCTAGAACACCATTGTACACCCAACTCCAGAGAGCAACTTCCTCCTGTCCTTACTTACGGCGAACTGCGAGCCCCGACGATAATGCCTGCCCATAAATCAACATCTCTGAACTTCCCGGAACCGATCAAAGTTGGCCCCAGATATCATTGTAACTATGCTAATAGAAGACGCTCGAACAAATTAACATTGATACGACTACGGCGTAGGTACCGGTTGGAAACGATTAGAACAAGCACCGCAGTAATGAACGCCGACGTGTTGGAGTCCGGAAACTCGTGTAAGCCCCGAGTTTCGAGTATTTAAAGTTCGCCGGTATTGAAATTTAACGGCGGCAGTTTGGGGTTTAACCGCCGTTAAGTAAATCTAATTTGAATATAAGGTTTTTCCCCGCAGCGGAATTAAATGTTTACGGGTTCCTGGGGGCGTATTAATTATTAAATTGAGTCGTCGCCGGATCAGAGTCATGTTCGGGAATTATCGTGGTAAGGCCCATCCACAAACCTGTTTTCCTAGACACATGAATGAATAAGATATTTGTTTACATTTTAAATATTAACAAGTATTGTTTATTTGTTAATAAAAACAAATGGTATAGCGATAATAATTGTTTTCGAATGTTAGGTTATTTCAATTTAGTACTCTTGTAAATGTTTTCACTACGTTTTATAATTGAATATGAATTTTTAGTATTATGTTATAATTAATCAGGTTATAGTACGTATACCTTATTGTGTGACTCATTGTTTTTCAATTAGTATGGTACCTACCTATTTAAAATGCCAGCTAAAAAAAAAAATCATCTGTTCATAGCACTTTGTTAATAAAGTTGGGATCCGCTGCATTTTGATTTTGAAACCAATTGCAAAATTTAAGACTACTGAGGAAATCAGCTGTTTCGCTTCAACATTGATAGCGTTAATGAGTTTATAACTGAACCACCCTGTATTTTTTATTCGAAGTTGTCGAAGCTTTTCAAATTTTCAGACAGATCTCTGAAAAAGTTGAAAATAAACAGTTCATTCCTAAAGACTGTACAACGTTTTCTTTTAGGGTTTGCTAGAGGCAATTTAACAACCTAATAAGCTGCTAGGATATTCATCAGGATTTATCGATGTTTAGTCGTACTTTTTCTTCAACTTTTATTCCCTTTGACAGCATAAAGAATCCTTTTAATATTTACATATATTATAAAGCGTCTCATAATGCAATTCTTCATTTACTTTGTTGGTAGCATTACAACATAAAAAAATATGCAAAGACTTACCATTTGGGGGGAATTCGTAAAAGTAGGCCGATCTAGGACTTAGGCATCTGAAAAAAAAGAGAACGTTACACATTTTAATGAATGAACCGGTTTATGTTTCAAAATCTACTCCATTTTACACTTGCGAACGCTTTTTGTATTAATTTCCCGTCGATACCACGCGGAGATTGGAGATTCCTTGTTCATATTTTTCGGATCCCGATCCGAGCCGCCGTTTCCAACAATCCTTCGGTCTTATCGCGCGTAGACAGAGATTGGTTGCCGGTAGATAAAACGGGACGTGCCCTGCATTTCGCCAGCGAAACAATGACTCGTATGTGCGAAAATGGAATCGGATTCGACAGTGCCTTACCTGCTTCATCGAATTAACGGGTGAATGTGTGTCGATAATCAGTAGGATGAGTGGCGGGAGGTGTTATTGGACAAAATTAAATGCAACCGGCGGCGTCGAGCGTTATTTGATTACTAACAATAGGGGCATTACGAAGAAGGAGCTGTGTCAGTAGAGTTGATGTTTAAATACACTGTCAAATGCAGTAGTAGGTGTTAACAATGCAATTGATGTAAAATTTCAATAGTCGTCAAGGAAATTCGAACTTTTTTGTTGATTTTACTCGATAAATTCTTTAACTACTTTTATTTTTAGTGTATTTTTACGAAGTAGTGAATTACAAACTAAATAAGATTTAAATTGGAAATACTGGATATCGTTTTTCGTGTTTTTTTTTTAATTCATAGACTTCGTTTCCTATGTAAAGGAAAATAATCCAGAAATTCAGTCGCTCGTGTGAGATAAATTTGCGGAATATAATATCGCGGAACATCCCCGTGCAGCCGGCGATATTTTACAATAAAGTTCGTTCCTGCAGAGAATATCGTTGCAGCAGGATGAAGAATATTCGCTGAGCAAAACAGCTGGAACATTGGCGTTCTGTATGGCGAATTTTTAACAAAATTATTTCATTCATATTTGCGATAGTGTTTACATTAGTTGTTCAAGTGTCAAAAATGGCTTACGTGTATAGCAACTCGGAGTTGATGGATATCGTTTTATTTTATGGTGAAGCAAGATAACATTTGTGTTAGTTCGTAGAAAGTGGGTAAGACGGGCCCAAATTTTATTATTCATTAATAATAACAATAGCGGCAAAAGGCAAATTTTGCTCATAAAATGTAAAACAAAAAATAAAACTAAAGCTTAGTTGAAATATGTCTAAATTTTTATATATTTAAGTTGTTTTTCAGGAGGAAAAGGAACCGAAAAGACCAATCTGAGAAGTTTTAGAGGCATATCTGACCTTGAAAATGAAAAAGTAACTTAACCAGGTCCACGAACGTAAATTTTCTTTATCTTTCAGAATCCAGGGATAGAAGAGTTGTATTACCATAAAAAAATACAAGGGTTGACCTTTTGCTGTGATTTTTTTACCGTTAATAGAAAACCATGCAGGTACAACGAAAATCTCAGGATTCTCAGTCCAGCCATTAGAGCCGTAAACTTGTCCGTTCTTATTAACCCCTTCCCCAACTTCCGGTGGCGCTAAAACTAGTTTCGCGGTGCCGATAAGGCCTCGTCCCGAACTACATAAAATCAAATTCGACGGGAGCTCCGGCGTGGAAAGTTCCGCGAAAGGCAATATCAATTAGGGATTCCGAACGGAGCCGAGCCGGAGCAAAATGATTCCGTGTATTTGCTCTGTTGGACGTGTCGCGGGAGCCGTTACGTGATGTCCTGATTGTTGGGAACCGAAATCTCGGAGATCTGGCTTTATTGGTGAGCTCCGCCGGATGCATCCGGCTAACTGGATTCCCTCATAAAACAAATAAGGAGCGATATTTGAGCGGGCTGGAGCAGTCTGGTAAGTTTGCTCGGGTTTGGGCGGCGAGATATGATTTAGGGGCGCAATCAGGGGAAGGAGTTTGACTTGGAATGAAGATCTTTAGCGGGAGGGGCTCCGGCAACGGCGTCGATAACGGAATTTAAAACAGAAGTTTCGAAAGCGAAAAGAGTTGTGGAAATGAACACTTCAGGATTAAGCTGTGCTAGATTGCGAGAATAAAATAAACAATTCTATTAAGAAAACGCTTAAACTTTCCTTAAACCTGCATTCTTTCAAAGTGACCTGAAGATGGAGGTGTAAATGTATACCCCGCAACTAGCAATCATATTAATTACGAATAAAAAGGAGAAAAATACTCACGTCTGGTAGTTGTGCTGCTGGTGGAGGAGGAGCGGCTGGTGGCTGGTGGGGATCTGCCCCATTAACCTCTGTTGCTGCTGCCTGGCGATCTGGGCCGAGAACACGCCGTACCCGAAGCCATATATCTCATCTTCCTCTTTGCCGCTCAAACAGCTCGACGGCTGTAAACGGGAAAACGAAATTAAATTGTCTTAGTCGCTAAAAGGAATATAAACCGTGGATGAATTTATGGACGACCTAATGTATGGCCCAGATAAATTCCCGGTGACGTGAAAGGAAAATAATAAGTTCTTTCGGGGTGCGTATGTGAGTGAGTACCTGGGGAATCGCGGAGGAAACGTTCGGAAAATGGGGAGGATGGCTACAATAAGCGCGTGAAATTGCTGGAAATTCAACAAATATGCAGGTACTTGTATACTTCAATGTCAGAATAGTCCGCCATTGTCAATTTCCCGTTTTTTCCCCGCCACGTATTTCGTTATTTTATTTTTTTTTAATTATTGTATGATTGAACTAAATTATTTGTCACTTGCACGAATATGACACGAAAGGAAACGCCTGAGATTGGGCAGGACTTTAATAACAAGTCAAACTTATCTTTTCGTGTACGATAAGCAAAGATAGCAATTTATTGACACATTTATGGCTACTACCTACTATTTTGGCATTGAACTATAAAAATTACATTTAAAGGAGTTGGTAATGTAAAAAAAAAACAAATCTCGACTTACGGAATACTTCCCGGGCACATATATTGGCTGGGATTGCGAGCTGGTGAGACCGTGCCCCGTTGACACCGGTGTACCACCTCCGGGACTGTACCTTGCAGGTGGAGTGCCCGGTGTAACCGCCGTACGCTCCTTCGGCGATGTCTCCCACTCCAGCCGTCGCAGGTCCTCCAGGTGGCTCAGGACGTCGCCGTAGTGGGTGCTGAAGAGATCCGCGTAGCGCGAGGCCAGGCCCTCTAGGTACCCCCTTTCACCGTCCTGCAACAACGACCAGGTGTTAGCTTTTTATTTCAAAGAAATCTAATTTCTGTCATAATATTGGGAATAAATTGTGCGTTAAGCAGCATAAGAATTGATGTGACAAGCTTTGCTTCCTGTTATGAAAAACGAATTGAATTTTCTCGATGGAAATACGTGCGATATATTATCGTGTAGGTATAGAGCGCCACTCTCCACTTTAAAACTGTAAATCGGGGTTTCATTTTCCGCTAAGAGGAAAATAAAGGGCGACCCGCGCGAAGGAACCCACGTCGAGTATTAAATCCCGATTGAATTTGACGTACTATGAATAAATCGCTTTGGCACTTCGGCATGTATTAGCTCTACATTATACGCTGCCTGTTTTGTTATTCGTGTTGGGGGCTGCTTTGTAATGGTAATGGATAAATCGGGCACACAGGTAAACATCAAACGGCAAACAGCTCGCGCTCGGTTTATCTCCGTGTATACATACATACATACATCCGACGATTTTTAAGTACGGCGTCCTCAGGAAAACAGGGGATTGCGGGAGAGCTTCCTCGAATTGCTACCTACTATTTGTTCGCGGATATTTAATGTGATTTTACATTTACGGTAAATTACATCTGGCAAATTTGCTAGTTACCCAAAAAGATGTTATTTTATTGTAATTTCACATTTACGGTAAATTACAACTAAGAAATATACTAAATAGTTACCTAAAAAGATGTAATTTTATTGTAATTGCACATTTAGGGTAAATTACAACTGGCACATTTACTAGTTACCCAAAAACATGTTATTTTATTGTAATTTCACATTTACGGTAAATTACAATTAAGAAATTTGCTAAATTTTACCTAAAAAGATGTAATTTTATTGTAATTTCACATTTACAGTAAATTACAACTAAGAAATTTGCTAAATAGTTACCCAAAAAGATGTAATTTTATTGTAATTTCACATTTAGGGTAAATTACAGCTGGCAAATTTACTAGTTACCCAAAAATATGTTATTTTAATGTAATTTCTCATTTACGGTAAATTACAACTAAGAAATATACTAAATAGTTACCTAAAAAGATGTAATTTTATTGTAATTTCACATTTAGGGTAAATTACAACTGGCAAATTTACTAGGTACCCAAAAAGATGTTATTTTAATGTAATTTTACATTTACGGTAAATTACAACTAAGAAATTTGCTAAATAGTTACCCAAAAATATGTAATTTTATTGTAATTTCACATTTAGGGTAAATTACAACTGGCAAATTTACTAGGTACCCAAAAAGATGTTATTTTAACGTAATTTCACAATAATTACGGTAAATTACAACTTAGAAATTTGCTAAATAGTTACCCAAAAGTGTAATTTTATTGTAAAATTTCAATTGTGTGTAATTTGAGATGCACGGAAAATAGTAATGTAAAATTACATTAAACTATAGAAAATATATTTCCATTGTAATTTTTTAATCTATTGAGGATTGGGATTGGCAATTCGTGTAAAATTGAAGGAAAATTACATTGAACTGGCAAAAAAGTGTATTTACTGTAAATTTTCAATGTAAAACAAATTATACTTGTATACATTTATATCTATAATATAAGTATAGAGTTTTGTAAAATTTATAGAAAAATTACATTAAACGTTTAGAAAAATGTATATCAATTGTAATTATTTTTTATATAATGGAAACAATATTCGTAAATAATGATTATATTTTGGGTTACATATGAATCACACGTATCATTAAATATTAAACTTGCTAGTTCTAGAGTTACAGCAACGCCCGGGCTATACACGAACGATAGAAAATCCTTGTGTTCCACATAAATAAAACTCCCTTATATGTATCACAGTTACGCCCGGCAACAGTTTGTTTCCTTTGTGGTAATAACTCCTAATTACACTTCATATATTAGCGCAGTATATTTCCATGCGAAAGTTTATACCGGTTTCGTATAAACTTTCCCGAAATGTATATGTGCGAGGGAACAATTTTGCATAAATTTACATTGCAGTGATATATGTGGCAAGAACTTTTCTAATTTAATTTTGTTTATCTTGGAAGAAAATTTCTAGGCGAGTTAACAGCGACTTGGGAAACTGCCGCTGCCGCTGCACCACCGCAAAAATATTATGGCGAATTACGAGTAAATAGTTTAAAAATGACGTTTAGCACCTTTCTTTTATGCTTGCCCGATGGTTTTTTCCTGCATTTATTTCTGTATAGACATTAATTGCGCTTATTGGCATAGTTTTTCGCGATTTTCGTTCGTGCACGTACCCGCAATTCCCATTAGGAATTCACCGAGCTGTTCTCCGGATCAAACATTAGTCCGGATGTTTTCGCTGATGATTTCAATTCGATCGCGTCTACGTAAGTACATGCCTAAAATCAACATGTTCTAATTATCATACATATGCATCTAAATGGGACATCAAAGCCGGCGTTGCCGTGCCGTGATTGTATCTAAAATTGTCCCGATCTGCATATCAAAGAATTCGCAGTCATGGTGGCTTCTTCCTCTAAAAACCGTGATATGTGGGGGTTCATGGACGCTTCCACCATAGGATAGCGCTCGCATCGTCGCGGTTTTTATTGCTTTCCCCGACAGTTCGTAATAAAGCGCTGTGTGGCGCGGGTACGGTATATTATCACTAGTTATTTTATAAAACACAACTTAAACCCTCTGAGTAAATTTTGCCGCTTCCGCCCTCCCAACCCGGACGTATTTTTCCCTAATTAACCGAATTCCCGCGGTTCATCAACATTCCGAAGCGGTCCCGAGTTAAGAATCGTCTTAACTCCGCCGCGCCAAACATTTTGATTAATTTAATGCCGCCCGTGGCGGGGGGAGAGGGGTGGTCGTCCTTTACCTATGTTTGTTTTAATAGTTAAGCCGGCAAATCTAATAAATTTTGAATAGTTTAAATGCCGCTTAATCCACACAGCAGCGGGAGGGCTTAGTCGGGGCTCAGATCTTATTAGTAGCCTCTTACAATATTCAATTGGGAGGGAAAAGCCGAGCGCCGAGGCATTAGCATTCATAGGCACAAGTCGACGGCGTGAATGGGATCTGCGGGCATTGCGAGCGCTTAATTCGATACTGTAAATAAAGGAGCCGCGACAGATTGCTGAATCCGTGGATAATTGAGTTTATTTCCTCGGATTCGAAATCTTCCAGACGCTTCCGCGCGTACACTCGACCTACGTAGTTATAATATGCCGCACCTTCCCCCGCATAAGTCCGTGCGTAAGAAAACTACGAAAAAGGATAACTCTAGACATCGGCGTTCATCCACGTACGGACAAGCACAACCGGGACCATTTCCATTCGTATATTTTATGAATACTAACGCGCCGCATCACTCTGCAACCGGCTCTATCGAAATATTCCATCACGTAACTTTATAATAGGCCTTAAATTTTTGTCGACGCTCGTTCGTTTCATTTGCATCATAAAGTGATGCGTTATTGTTGCTGACGGTGAAAGGTAATGTGTTCCGCGATACGAAACGTGCGGGAGAGTGGGGGAGATTCCTAAAAGTAACTGGGTCTCCTGAAACAGATGTATGATATGGCGTTCCACAGGGTTGGGTCTTGGGCCCATTACTTTTTTTAATATATGTAAATGATCTTTACGTTTTTGACAATAATCGACTGGTTTTTCGGTAATAAAGTGACTGTTAACATGTCAAAGACTGAAACGATGATCTTCAACCTTCATAACTTGAAATAATCCTGAGTATGACAAATTTCTTGACGTTTAAATGGATCCTGAACCAATGTGGAATCATCATAGGTTTCAAAATTTACTTTATTTTATTTAAAATTATTTTATAGTAAAATCAATTCACAAAGACCAAGCCAAAGGTGAACGTTTCACGCCAAATCGCATCTATTTTACGTTTAAAAAAACTGAATCGTGTCCAATCGCCCCCACAGCAATCGACCAAAATGCATTCCGACGCAAAATTGCACCGGTTAGCCGTGTTTATAATTTAAATTTTGTTTCCGTTTTATGAATACGCGTCTGTATATTTCGAGCGTTGTCGCCGGTGCCGCAGTATGTTTATGGAAATCCGACGGCATCAAATGCTAAGCAGGGCCCACAGAGGTTTCATTCAATTCAAAGAAAACGCCCAGAGGATCATTTCCGATGGATAAAATATGAAAATTATGTGTTTTCATAATGAACTGTTACAGAAGTACATGCAGAACATGAATCTTATTATTTCCTCGAGTGGCTTTAAATCTGGCAAGCCAGGAGGACACTGCAGAGAAATGTCAACAAAGGAACCTGAAAATTTGTAGGATTTATCCAGGAAACGCTTGATTTATTCAGCTGTTTAATTGCGTCTCAAATTGGTAGATTTTTGCCTCCACTCAACCCGGGGCTATTTATAATGCATAACGGGGGTATCATCGGGAAGCATTAAATTATATTAAACAAACTCCCAACTTCATCATCCAATTAAAGTGCGGCTTTGCGAAAACTGATCCAAAACTGACTCGTGGGAGTATACTCCTTCCATCGTTAATACTGTGTGTTACAGCGAAGGCACCTCTCGGCAGACATTCACTTTGGGGAATTGTTACACGTTGATATATTCCGGTACAACCGTTTAATTAAGGACTTTAGCAACGGTTAGAGCAAAAATATCGAGCTGGAACTATACTTAGAACGGCGTTCTTGCGCTGACTAATAACTACTCAGTTGCTATCCTGCTTATACTGCGGATGTGCACTTATAAGAACAGGACGTAAGTGAAAAGGTTTTTTTTCTCTAAACGTACACTAGGCACACAAATTAAGGAATATTAAAAAAATCACAAAATTTTGGGCTATTAAATTGTGATCTGCAACGTCCAATCAACCAAATTTTTTCTGACATTTGTGAAGCTTGTGGACATATTAAAAAAAATTGTAAAAATAATTTTTGAAAAATTTTTTTTTTAAATTTTTTTAAAAATAATTAACATATTTTGATGAAGAAAATATGGATTAT